AAAGCCAGTGTACAACATTATTCTTCAACAATTGATGCATTATTTATGTAACAAGAGGAATGGTTTAAGATACTTTAAGTTGAGAGGTTTAGGACGTGCATGAGCCAAGGGGCACATGGAAAGTTACTGTATTAATATTCAAAACTTCAACATAGGTTGACAGTTAACATAATAGCTTGACAATCCCTATGGTATTAAAAAAATGGGTTTTAACCTCTAGAGTCCTGAGCTTTGGTTTCATATGCATTTTTGGTCCTCATATGAGGACGCAGGGACTCTAGAGGTTAAATGGTGATTTTAGTTTTGCACAATTCAATTTTTCTTTTTACTCAGCAATAAGTGAAATGCCTGGAAGTAGTAATAATTCCTAGCTGCAGGCATATTGGCCAATATTTAACCCCTCACATTTTGAAGATCACTTTAAAACGAGATAAATTACTGATCTATTTACTTTTATTCAGATGGTGCTCCATTGTTTTTAGGTGAAGGGTACCAACAGAAGCCAAGCATGAGCTCTTTGCTGCCTATAATTTGTGCTTTAATGTATCTTTTTATGTACAAGTATGAAAAATGGCAGGTGATACTCAGCGGTACAGTGATACTACTCAAAAACTTCTATTGTCAAAACAATGTTTTCACCCTGTGTAGGTGTTGCCTATTCCTACGCTGCTATTCCTTGTCTCATTTTGGCAGAAAGCGATTAAATGAAAGTTTTCTTGCTAATGTGTAAATGAACTGACAGTAATCCCATTTTCACTCAGCTTTGGAACAGGTTTTAAAACACTGGAAATGGAACAACTTGTATTCCCTGTGTGTTTAAACAGCATAAGTAGCATATTCAACTACCTGAATCTATTTTCAGCAATGCAACTGAAAATAGCTTCTTTTTTTTTTGCATTTATAATCATCTTATTACAGTGACAAAAAGGGGTGCCACATGCAACTCTTGAGTTTGTTTTACTGAATTATGTGCTCAGGAGTGAGAGTTCAGATGTGATCTTACTGTAAGCTTCCTTCCTGTACCATGACCCTGCACATGGAAATGTCTCTGACTGCTCATTTCCAATCACTGACTAAAGATTGGTGTATTCTATTTACAAATAAATATAATATATTCTTGACATCTTGCAGCTAGTGTGGCTACAAGTTCACTTCAAGATCAGCTTGTCAAGTTTATCAGTGAGTCCCTGCTTGATAATAGACTGTGGTAAATGCTTACACGTTTGTTTTCATTTCTTACTGAGGCTTTACTTTTTTTTTTATACACTTTACATTTATTGCTTGGAGACTTCTAACCTTAACCTCAAGGCTAATTTCACCCTAAGGTTCAGTGATATACATAGTGGGGGTCTTCATCAAAACTCACTAACCTGAATCCTAAAACCAAGTCTGAATAATAAGACAGCTCTTTGAAGGTGTGTGAGAAGATCAAGTATGGCCAAAATGTCCTCACTCTTAAGGTATGAAATTCAAAGTGGTCCTCACACTGCTGGCCAAACACACACACACACACACACACACACACACACACACACACACGCTTGTCTCTTTATGGGGATACTAACATAATCCATGACCTAACCCCTTACCCTAACTCATTACAACTAAATGCCCAACCCCAACTCTTAGCCTACCCCTAACATGAACCCTAAAACCAAGTCCTTGAAAAATCCTGTTGAAGTTGCATGGACCTGTTAAACTGCCCTAAAATGGCCTCACTTAGTTGCAAAAATACTTTGATCCTAACTACATAACAAGTATAACACACACCTTTTGTTACGATGCTCCCATCTTATGACATCACTTCAGTCCAGGAATGAGAGCATTCACACAGTGCTTAGCTTAAAACCAACTTTCTATTTAATTCACCAGCAACAAAAAGCATAAACACAATCATATTTCACTCAAAACAATTTTGTCCTTTAAAACATGAAGCCAAATCTACACAGGACTGGCCATTCTATGCTATAGACCTCCATTTAATCCAGAACACTCAGTGCTCATGCAACTTGACAGAGCTGGAGTAGGTTTGTCAACAATGAACAGGAGACCATGTTCATACACTCTGAAACATATAACAGACTAAACCTTAACAGTTATAGAAATAAATGTGGTGCCCAGCCTGACACATCTCAACTTTTGCTGCCACTTGCAGATGGCAGAGTAACAATTTAACATAAACAACAAGAATCCGCCCTGCTTTGAGTCAACACTTGAGGCTGGTAGTGACAGTGTAATTGTACTGAAGCCATTTTCTTGGAACATAGTGGGCCCTTAAACACTAAATGAGCATGTTTTATATACCACAGTATGCTAGATCCATCCCTAGGTCCTACCCAGGATGAGAAAGGTATACCTGATAATGTGACCAAGTGGATCAGTTTGTAGAGAGTTGTTTTCCCTTTGACAACCAAGTCTACTGAAACAAGCCTGAACACAAAGTGAGACAAAATAAAAAAAAAAAGAAACATGAAAAAGTTAAAGGGCCTATTTTTATATATGCAGACTTATGTGTTTTTAACAAATCCATGTGCACCACAGCTGGATGGTCCTCAGATACGGTACCTCTATGCTTTGGTCTTTTAGTCAGAGAAGACATGCAGGCGCCCTGATGCATTGCCCCCCAGTAGAGCATTCCTTGTGGGGTGGAAAGCTGTGATGGACAGCACTGTGTTAAGGTTCTCGCCATCTCTGAAGCAGTGCTGGGGATGGCCACTTTCGTGGAACACCATGACCGTCCGAGGATTTGACCTGCTCCCCACCGCAAAGCAATCTTCCTGCTTGGGGTCCCACACCGCTGAGAGTTTGCTCAGCCAGCGGCCTGTTTGCATGTCATGTCTGAAAATGCGGAGATTGAGAGACATACTGTGAGTAGGTTCAGCTCATAAGTCTCAAAGCACAGAAGAGACAAAGGACCAGGGAGGCACAGCTTCAGCAAAATAAAGATCAATCCTATCATATAGGCTGAGTTGGACTGAATGGATGTACCTGATGGATGTCAGCAAGGGAGCTTTAGTCGTCAATGCAGAGGTGTCATATACCCTGTCGAAAACGGTTCAGACATTGAGCAAGGGTTAAAAAAAAATAGACGACACCAAGTACAACACAACAGACCTTTTCACAGCAGACATTTTGACATGTCATAGTAAGAAAAGCACAGGTGTAATTGATAACACCCAAAGGCTGCATTCCATTTAAGTGAGCCATTTCCAGGATCACAATTTTGTGCATGCTTTCTTAGTGGCACTGCTTAGTGGGACACTTAATGGAACTCAGCCATTATAAATGTTGTTAGCTACACCTGTGCTTTTCTTCCTGCAACAACTCAAAATGTCTGCTGTTAAAACAGGCTACTACTCAAACTACTGAGCTGGCTTCACCTGATGTGGTTATCCATACAGGAGGTGAGAACTCTGTTTCCCGTGCAAGGGGAGAAATAAGCGCTGGATATGCTTAAAGAGTGGCCATGCAGCTGGGACACTGCCTGGCTGCTTTTCTTCCTCAGGCATCTGCTGTCGTAAATACTCACCATCCTGGAGATAAAAGCCGTCATTCAGGAACATCAAAAAAGTCTGACACAAGATGGAGAACTGTTATCCAACAAATTTAATCCAAATAATAATCTGCCATACTTGCTTTCTGCCACAGCAAAGTACTGCTTCTGTAAAGGGTGGACACTAACACAACGCACAGCCTTGGGGTCCAGCAAGTGGAGGGACTCGTGGAAGTTTCTACAGAGAAATTATCCGTTCAGCATATTATTGACACAAACTAAGAACATTAAGACTCTTAGTACAAAACCATTGCTACTCGTTGACTAGTTGTTACCCTGGCGTGCGCCTGTCGACAATGGCAACTTCTCCATACCAGTTCCCAACCACTAGTGTCAAACAGTCATGTGACAGGAAGTCAAACGTTTTCAGGCCATCTTCAACGTCATACACCTGCAGCAGTGTACAGATAGACGGACATCCACTTGTGAAGGGGGACACTTTGAACTGGAAGTAACTGCGTTGGACAGGTGATATCTTAAACTCTTTAAAAGTCTAGTTTGCTTTCAGGCTGTTCAACACACAACATAAAAATAAACACTTATTTTCATTGAACAAAAGTTCTTACATCATCAAAGACGGCCTTCTCCACATCCATGCAGCGCAGAGACCCGTCGTAGCTGAGGCTCAGCAGCTGGGTGGCATGAGCCCTGGAGAATGCCAGGCAGCCCACTGGACGAGTATGAGGCTCAAAGAGCAGCACGCCGTCATCCCCCCAGTTACCACCCTGAAGGAATATACACATGAAAAAATAAATAAATAACCTGATGTAAGCTCCTAATGTAGGTTTCATGTGATGATACCAAACAGCTGTTAAAAGGAATTTGTTTCTCCACTAACTGACACGGAGCAAAATGAAAAGCTTAATGTAAATAAGTGGATGCTAGGGAAAGCCAAACATGTAGCAAGCTCAAGAGCTCCAGATTTTCACAAAGCCACATACCAGCTTCCAGATTCCAACTTTACCCCACTTGTCTCCTGCAGCCATCAACAGGCTGCTGGTGCAGGGGTGGAAAGCAGCAGAGAAGATGCGATCCTTCACCACTTTGGCTACTCTCTCCTCGGTTATCCTCATGTTCTTAAGGACTGAGCAGTACCTGCATAAAGACGCCAGTGAAGATTTCCGTTTTCAGCTGCTGGCTAAAACAATGTGTCCATCTATGTGCAACTAACATTCCCTCACAGATTAAGCAGTCACTTCTTTATTAGCTGTCACATAAACTGAAACGTCAATCTTAAATCTTACCGTTTCAGATCAGGCACCACTGTTCCTTCTTCTGTCACATCCTTTGAAAAGAAAAGCAATTTTAACATTTAACTGATTCAGAAGTAGCACAAGTAAACAACAATTACTAGACCAAGATAAAAAGGCTACGTATCTCAAGGTTTGGCATTTCCAAATATTTTCCACTTTGTCTGTGTTTTTGTGCTGGTGGCACAGTAGTCAACAGCTAATCAGCGCGATGCTAAGACTCTTTTCACACGCACACAAAAAAAAACTAATAAAAAAGGAAAACAAAAACTTTTTTATGGTAAACTTTATCTTTATAACATCAAGTGTGGATTATCTAGGCAAATGAATATTAAATATGGTGAGATGAAATGTCAGGATGCAATGAGAACATGAAACATCGCAGCAAAGAGGTGACTCATGCTGCACCTCAGAGCAGAGCTGAAGAAGTTGAGAAGGCAGCTTGCTTCCATCCTCCATGTTGAGTGGATCCATGGGCAGAGGGCCAGGAGGCTTCTTGGCTAGTGTAGACTTTAAAGCAAGTAAAATAATTGAGTAACAAAAAACATTCTAGAGAACAGAGGAGCAGGCATAAATGAGACATGATATATACATTCACTGCATTTTATTCACAGGTGTTCCTAATATTCTGATGCCTTCATGTATGTAAATGTGGAGAATAAAAATATAACACCACTGGATATATCCATCCATCATCTATACCACTTATCCTGAAGAGGGTCACAGAGGGCTGGAGCCAATCCCAGCTGACATTGGGCGAGAGGTGGGGTACACCCTGGACAAGTCGCCAGTCTGTCACAGGGCGACACTTAGACAACCACACAAACACACCCACACACTCGCGCTCATACACACACGCACTCACACCTACGGGCAATTTAGAGCTGCCAGTCAACCTAAGTTGCATGTCTTTGGACTGTGGGAGGAAGCCGGAGCACCCGGAGAGAACCCACACAGGCACAGGGCCAGCCCGGGCTCCAACCTAGAGATTTTTTGCTGAGAGGCAACAGGGCTAACCACCTCACCACTGTGCCGCCACACTGGATATATTGCAGTCCAATACAAGACTACCTTTAATGCTGGCCTCAACAATAAATATACCATTTCAAGAAATTTCACCACAAGCTGAAAGATCATAATCTTTATAGAAACATCAGGGCTGTTGTACTGGTTTGCATTCAGCTGTACAGGTTATACCTTATAAAAAGTGCTTGATGAGTGCATACTGTGGATGTCTGGTCACCTGGTGAGCAGGAGATCACACCTCCCTGCGCTGAACGTGATCTACCCTGGGGGTCTGTGTGTATGTGTGATGTTAATTTGTATGTTAAACTGGCCAAGTGGTCAGCTCAGGATGTCGAGCCCTCGGTCTCTGCAGGACATCCCAAGACAAAGCAGAACTTGCAATATGTTAAGTGGGTCTGTGTGTGAATGCAAAACAAGCCGACTTGTCTTTGTTAAAATGTGAATGGGCTGTCTGGTCGCGGAGAGGTGCAGGCACCAAAGACAGCTGGAGACGATATGTGGGTTGTTAGATATGAGACAATGGTATGAGTTTTATAGATGTGTAATTGTATCACTTTTGGTATAAAAGGGACTGCCCTTTACCAGTCAGATAGAGAACTCTGCGCGACTGCTAAGTTGTGTACGACTTCTCTCCATGCTGCATGAAATAAAAGAATTCTTCGAAGCTACTCCGGGTCTCCAGGCATCTTTATTGGGTCCTGCACGTTTCCACTACCACAATACTAAGCCATTTCTGTGTAGGTACCTACCTGTTCATAGGTCAGAATCCTCCTGAAATCAGGGGGAAGTGTCAACACCTCTGCCTCTTTATTTTGGAGACGAAGGGATTTGCGAACTGGCAGCACATCTTTTGCAGCAGCCTGTGACCTGCCACCACATGTAGTAAGCATTACAGTGAGGCCAAGGAAACAGCAGTGCTTGACATTTGAAAGACAGACATATTAGTCAAAGTTCAGTGGCATTAAATTCAGAAAAAAAAAATCTTACTGGTTGAGAAGATAGAAGAAGAGTATTTTAACCTAATGGCAACTACTGTTCATCACTGCAAGATTACTTTTTTAAAATCAAATCCAGTACTTTGTCATTTTTTTACAACAAAAAGTACATTGCCACACACATTTAAAGTAATATACAGCAGTATAATGCACAATTTACACCCAGTGAGTAGGATGATATTGCATAGGAAATATGACAACAGGCTGAACACTCACTATAGTGTTGTCATCACTACATTTTGAGCAGCTCTATAATCCACTTTTATAGCTCAGCAATCATGCTAGATGTCATGTCTCTTCCCCACAATCATGTGACAGTGAATTAAGAGCTTAGTAGTAAGAGTCTGTCAGCTGACTATACTGTACCTCACGAGTCCCCTCTGTGATGGCTTTGGCCGAGTCAACTGCTTCAACTCTTCAGTTGCCTTATAACCAAGAAAACAATTAATACCCATGCTATCTGTTCAGTGATAGCAGGAGCTATGGTAGGAGTCACAGATGGCTGTGGTGAACTTAGTGTGACAATATCTGTGTTAAATACACAAACCCACTTTTTTTTTTTCCATACACATGAGGATCCAGTTCACCACCACAGGATTTCTGGGAGGATGTGAGGCAGTACTGACTTCACTATTGATTCTGTCCACTGATCCAACACTAGTGGAGCTCGGTGATATGATCTAAAACCTATACTGTGATTAACGGTCACATTTATTAAAATAATAATTTTTTTTTTGGACAAATTAGTTCGACACTTCCTTTCTCATGCTATGTTTGCCTTGATGTAATCACATTATGACAAGTTAAAGATACTGACTTGTAGGACAGTTGGACCTCTTATTACATATCATTGTGTGCTGTAGCTATTCAGTTTTAATTGAATGGAATTCATATTATATGTATTTATTGACAGAGTATATTAAGGTCTGCCACTAAAAACATAACATCCAGTCCTAAATCCTAGTGCTTTTGGATTTATGGAAGCTAAGTCAAGCCATGCATGTGACCATGTCACCTCCGTACCTACCTGAAATAAGTTGATAGAAGACAAGAATGCCTGGTTCTGCCTGATGTTCTCCAGGCGCTCCAGCTCATATGCTGAAAGTCGTCCATGTCCGCCCTGTTTTACACAGACAGCTGTCATTCTGTCCAAACCTCCCATAACTTCATTTTTATGACACCAAGAACAGCCATGCATATTAGACATGGACATTTTCCTACACTGACAAATGTAGTGAATAAAAGGTAAATGTCCATAATGTGCAGGGCTGTCATACTTACTGATGTGTGCTCCTCACCCACATCACCACTTTCAACATTAGGGTCCTGCCTTTTATTGTTGCTGTTTTCATCATCGTGCTTTTTTGTTCTCTATCAAGAAAACATCGACATATTAACAAAAGCCAAACAGATTTACACACTAGGAAGTAATAATATCGTTTCAATGGGCTTGCAGTGTTTCGCATACCCTTTTCCTTTTGGCTGTTTCAGCTGTGCCGTCTTCGGGAGAGTACTGAAGGCGCTTAGGTGCCAAAGCCTTTCGAGATGATCGTCGGACTGTTGCCTCCAGATCCACAGGGGTCTGTTCCTGCAAGGTTTTCAACCTCTACTGTATGTTAACAGGCTAAAGACAATTCCTAAGCAGCAGAGATTTTAGCAAAACTACCTACAATAATGCTTGTTGATGTCTGTTTTACCAAATGTTAAACCATGTCCGTTTAGCCCCCAAATCTAGTTAATATTATTCGGCAGCTAACTAATATACAGCGAAGAACGTAACTAATGAAACCACATTCAAAACTTCAAAAACTCACCAACAGCCGCACCTCCACGGCAGCTTGTGACTTTCTTCGTCTGGTCTCCATATTAATGCACTTTTAACGAAATGTACGAGCTTCTTTTTTATGAGAAAACAATACTTAAAATGAGATACAAACAGCTGAAAACCGGTAACAATTATTAGATGGGGGTAATTCGCGCCACATGAGAAAATGTTTTGTAACTAGCCCCTTCCCTTCTGACGTGAACTGTATGCTAGCAGCTCATTGGTTTGAATTTGCTCCTCCTCTTCTTCCTCTTCTTGTAATGTTTATTGGCGGTTTGCAAGCCACCTTAAGGTGGTTTACCGCCACCTGCTGGGCTGGAATGTGGCACAATAATAGAGCCCAAGGAGTTGTTAGAATCGAACCTCTTTGTTAGAAATTAACCCAATTCTTTTGTTGGTAGCACGAGAAGTGACGACAGGAGAGGACTGTTTAAAATCAACAGAAAGTTTACTGAAAGTCTGATCACAGGTAGGCCTTACAGTGCTGGGATCAGAGAGACAGAGCTCCCGCAGGAGTTCCATCCACTGACCTCGAATTCAGGTCTTACAATACATTTGTGCTCTTTTGGCTAGGTCCGCCCCACGAAACCAGGTGTGTATGTGTTGTCATGTGACTTTCCAGGCGGCAGCCAAACAATGGGTCCTCTGTGCCGCAGACCCCCCCATCTGTGTAATCCCATTACATGACAAAGCAGGACCTCCTGCATACAAACACTGTAGTCAGTTTCTACTTCAGTATCACTTGGCTCTTATCAGTACAATTGGAAATCATGCAAGGAAATTAAATGTATTAAAGTAACCAAGGCTCAGTAATTCTGGTCAATCATCAGTACAGTTTTACTATGTGTAAGCAAGGAAGGTAAACATATGAAAAGTAACTGAAAGACAATGAAGAACTGAAAAGTAACTAAAGATTATAAAGTAACTTGAGCCTATAAGAAAAGTCTATGTATGTGTGTGTGTGTGTGTGTGTGAGACAATAAGCTGGCCAAGTGGTCATCTTCAGGTGATAAGACCCTTGTAAGACATATAAGCAAGGAGAATGACTGTGTTAGAAAATAACCAGGGCTCAGTAATGCACAATAATCAATACAGCTGTAATCAGGTAAGATAAAGTTATGAAAGGTAACTAAAGGGAACTAAAGGCATGAGAAGTAACTGAAACTGATAAAGTAACTAGAGTCTATAAGACTCAAATCTTACAGAGTTTAAAAAAGGGCCTTTGAACCGCATAAACTACTAAATCCTATCCAAAATACCCATATCTGCCAAATAACTAATACCAATTTTATATGCTGTCTTACATTTGCTGCCCAAAAGACTCTCTGGTGATATATTAGTAATCTTCTTTTTCCATTAATGCTATCATTAGAGCGTATTGCTCATTATATGCACTACATATGAACAGGACATACTCTACAGTCTCTATCTGACTACAGTGTGGACAAAGACCTGTAGGGTGTTTACCTATTTTGTGCAGGGTATAATTTAAACTTGTGACCTATTCTCAAGATATCGCTTCGGCTTCCTCAGAGCCAGTGATGATGTCGCCACCTTCTGGCAGATCTGGGCACTTGCAGAAATATTAAGCTCAAACGACTAATATTGATAGGTCTGGGTTATTTATGCACGAACAACAGGTCCTAAATATACATCCGTTAATTTAAAGATATATCTAAAAAGGCCAGACACATTGTTTAACATATGAAAGCAAACAGCTGGCTGACATATGGAGCGGTACTCCTTAATAAGGGACCTTTTGTCAATGGCCGTCTCCAGTGTGTTGACAAAAGCAAGTAGAACTTGTCTTTGAAAACATTTAGAGACTTTTCACACACTAGATTATTTTTCTCTAATGACATTATACATTGATCTAATAGATACTTCAAATAAAGATTTTACAGACAAAAGCTTATATTTGCCTATAAAATATGGTGCACGGTTATTGATTTAACTACCCAACATATATAAAATATTAAACACTTGCCAGGGCTACAACAGTCACGATATTTAGGCATAAATCATAATGAATCGATTACTAATATATTATACTAATGGTGGCGTAGTGTTGCTTTTGAATGTTTAAGTACATTTTTCTTTTACTTTAAATTGATCCTTTTATATCGCACTATTGCCTTTACTTTGGTAAGCATTTTGAATACTTTTTACACAAATGTTTATTATAAAAATAACGTTATTCTGTTGTTTTTAGTTGCCTGCTGCAAACGATGTCACGATATTTTACAAAAACAACGACATTTTGCAATAAACAAAAATGAATGAACAAAAAAATTCAAGTCACGTGCTTCATGTGCAGTGACTTACCTTCTTGTAAAAAATAACTGTGTTAAATGAACACAACAGAAAAGGGTGGGCCGTTACGTGACAAGACTTCTTCTGTAACCTCACCACAGATCTCCGCCCCGCAAACACAGTTCACTGGGTAATACTGTCCACAGGTTAAAACACTTGTTAGTCTTGAAGACACTTCTCCCCCTGAGAAAGAATAGATTTATTAACAAGAGGTAATCAGGAAAGAGTACCCTTTTATACAAAACTGGAAATACTGCTCAAGCTGTTAAAGTAGACTCAAATATAATTCTCATACCACTGGGTATTACTCCTTGCAAACATCTGGTGTGCCTGTTAGAGGGTAAAGACTTCATGTGCAAGGATGGGGTTTAAATACAGAACACATACTGCTCTAGATATAGATCAGATTTGAACACGTGAAAGTGGTACATGCCTGCCACTTAATTAAGCTTTAGGTGTTTTTCTATACAAAGCCTGTAAAAAATACATATAAATATTCCAAGAATAAGCACAATATTACTACTGTATAGTTCCTGCTAGCATATTGGAGTAGACAGGATACAGAATGTGTTACACTTATAAGTTATTTTCAACATTTGTTTCAAAGTATCACACAGAAAAATTATTACAGAGTTGAACAATCATAAGGATAACACATTTCTAGGGATATAATTTGAACACACTGCACATTAAGAAATGCTTCAGACTGCTTGTACACAGTCCTGTATGCAGCAAATGTCTCTGCTTCACTGGCAAACCATAGAAGAAAATAGTTTACATACTTTTGTGGTATATAATCCATTTCATGATTAAGGCAAAACCACAATGCACTGGCCAAATAAGATTAACCAAAAAAAGCTCTCGCTGAGTGTAGAAGCTGGGAATTTAAGATCCTGAAGTGGCTCAATACTGGTTACATTTGCTACATACACTGCCCAGTGCTTTTACTGTACTGTATATACATCATGATGCCCACCAGGGGAATAAGGTGATAATAAGCAAAGCTTTAAAATCCATCTCTCCAAACTGACAACGTGCAATATGTCCCAGCTCAGTCAGCACTCAGCAGGTGTGCTAGTTTGACTCCAAAGTGGCTACATAGAACATCAGAGCACAGGACTGAACTTGAGCCACCGCAGCAATCCCACATTTCACCTCCTGTGTTTTTCTGAGTGGAAATGTTTTAGCATCTTAATTTCAAAACCATGAAGTAGAATCCTTAAGATTTTCATGAAATCTCACACAGTTTTTGATGCTATTATGCATTTTTCTAAAACGGTCATCCAGTGTATTTACATTCAGTAATTTTCTCTGTATAGTTTCCATCATTAATGGCAGGGTTTGTCACTTCCACAATGGAGTCAAATCATCAAGAATTGAAATCTTAAGGATTGCAACTTCACATGAATGGTCTTGCAACTACAGTAGCAGCTTAGCAGATACTACTTTTGACTTGTAGGATCTGCACTTGAGGACAAAGAGGATACAAAAATGGCCTCTGTTCAGATAAGACAGAATCTTCATTTGGGATCAGTTATGTGCCATTCTCTCCTGATTTCGACATCTGAGCAGAAAAGTGGGAGTTGATCATCATGTGTTAAATGTGACTCCATCGCTCATTAATGAGTTCCTTTCTATACTACACATTCCCATTAGGAATCATGTGTTTATTCTGTTGTTGAAAATAACTCATCATAAAATGGAGTTTAAGACAATAAATAACATATAATTAATTACTCTGTAAATATAAATAAAGCCTCTTTGGGCTTCTACTCAGTCTCTAATAACAATTATACACAACAAGTCCATTGGGGAGCACATACTAGAAGAGCACAGCATACTGTGTCTAATACAAATAATAGTGTATGTACATTATAATAAATTGTTCCTGTACACTCCAAGTGAGGGCTGGGAGAAGGGGTAATCATCTTCATGATGAAGTTTTGGGCTCGATTCTCAGAGATGCTTCGTACAGGCTCTCCTCGTCCAGCGCTCTACTACTGTCCAGCAGGTACTTTGCCACCTAAAGCAAGCAACACAATCATAACAACTTTTGCTTGGTTTCTTTAGTTTTTTTAAAACTGCCAAAACTTCAAATTTTATACATTGAAAATAAATATGTCTGAGTTATGAGAGTGCAGATTTACATTCTCTGCCTGTCTGCCACCTGCTTATCACACCAACATACAGTCATGGCCAAAAATACTGGCACCCCTGCATTTCTGTCAGGTAACGCACAACTTCTCCCAGAAAACTGTTGTAATCACAGACTTTTTGGTATTCTCATGTTTATTTCTTTTGCCTGCAGTGGAACAAAACAAAACAGCCAAATCTGATCCATTCCACACAGAACTCCAAAAATGGACTTGACAGAATTATTGACACCCTCAACTTAATTTTTTGTTTCACACCCTTTGGACAAAATAACTGAAATCAATCACTTCCTGTAACCCTCAGTGAGTTTCTTCCACCTCTCTACTAGAGTTCTGGACCACTCTTCTTTTGCCAGCTGCTCCAAGTCTCCCAGATTTGAAGGGTTCCTTCTCCCTGCTACTGTTCTGAGATCTCTCCACAGGTGATCTATGGGATTTAGATCTAGACTCATTGCTGACCACTTCAGAACTCTCCAGCTCACTGTCTGAAATCATTTCTGGTGCTTTTTGACATCTGCTTTGGGTCCTTGTCCTGCTGTAAGACCCATGACCTCTGACAGAGACTTAGCTTCCTGACACTGGGTCCTGCATTGTTCCCCAGAATTTGTTGGTAGTCTTCAGATTTCATAATGCCATATGCACAGTCAAGACATACTGTGTGTGAAGCAGCAAAGCAACCCCAGAACATCAGTGAACCTTCACCGTACCTGATTATGGAGACAATTCCTGGGAGAAGTGGTGCATTATCTGAGAGAAATGCAGGGGTGCCAATATTATTGGCCATGACTGTAGGTGTGTTTTTTTCTTAGTTTTTAATTGGATTGGTTTATTCTTACTTAAAGAACCCATGGCATGCTTTGCCTTGTTTTTTGACTTATCTACAATGTTCCAAAGGTGAATTATCATCTTAGACATGACCTAAAGCTAAAAAAAATGAGGTGTATGTATGTTCTAGTACTTCTATGCAGAAGCAACCTGGTTTATACACATCTCGCATACTCTCACTTGCAAGACCTTTTTCTAACAAAATAAAGTATTATGTGATAGTTTAGGGATTTCCTTGAATTGTCATAATCTCCAGGCAGTTGTGCCTTCATGTGAGTTTGCCTGACATCCACCAGTGACTCTGTAAAAGCGATATTTTTCACCTGCACCCGCTTTTGTGGGTATATTTTGTGTAGAAAAATACAGGGCCTGAGGTTACTGCATGTTTGGGAATGTTTATGCACAGGGACTCACTGTTTTACCTAACCTATGATCAGGTGGCCAGTGAAGCCCCTGCGGCGGATAGTGATCAGCTCATCAATGCTGGATTCCTCCAGAGCACAGTACCTGTTTGTTTTCACTGCTTGAGACCAGTGTGCCTGCAGCATGTGATGTGTTGCTGGTTAAGGAGCAAATTAACAACCCATGATGTTATTGTCAGCGCTACGCTAACTGTTGGAATTAATTTCACTACTTTGGGACTTTGTGTGAGGGAAGACACAGCGAACACCGATTGGATTTTCTAACCTTGGAGCTACTTGAAAGGGAGTAATGTTTCCACTACTCGATGGAACTTAACGGTAAGTTTAAAAAAAAACACACGTTGCATGTCTGTCGAAGTGTCCTTGAGCAAGACACTGAACACCCAAGTTGCTATTGGTGATCACACCGGTGTGTGAATGTGTGCATGTGTGAGTGTTTGTGAGTGTGAATGGGTGAATGGCCAAGTAGTGTGAAAGCGCTTTGAGTGTGCTGCAATGCATAGAAAAGCGCTATACAAGTATAAGACCATTTACCATGTCTGTTAATGCCTTGTTTCCGTAAGGTTAGAGAGAATTGTTGTAAGGCTGGAGAAGTTTCACAGGAACTTGAGAAGATAAAGAAATTGTGTGATAGTAATATACTATCTCTGAATTTGGATAAAACTAAATTTATGGTATTTGGGAATCGTAGACTAGATAATGAACTTCAATTGAAAATTGGGGGAGCTAATATAGAACGAGTATATGAAATTAAATTTCTAGGTGTCATAGTTGATGACAAATTCTCCTGGAAATCTCATATCAGATATGTTCAGAACAAAATAGCAAAAAATATATCGATATTGGCAAGGGTTAGATATATTTTGGACGGGAAAGCACTACGCATTTTGTATTCTTCATTGATTTTACCATACTTAGAGTATGGCGTTGAAAACTGGGGAAACACATACAAAAGCTCACTTCAACCATTGTATATATTACAAAAAAGAGCAATAAGAATTGTGCATAAGATGGGATA